AATGATGAGGTTGTCGGAGTTGGCCTTGCGGATGGCTTGCTTCCACTCATACATGTGTTTTTCGAAGAACCTCTTTGAGCCCGAGTCTGCCCGCGGTGTGCTTGGGCCGCTGCCCCCGGTGCCACTGCCAGCGTTGAGAACTAACTTGTACACCTTGTATCTGCTTGGTAAGCAAAATGACTTTCCCCCTCTTCACAGCGGCATTGGTGGATGGCTGGCCGTCAGCACGACTGGGAGCTATTGACAGTGTCGACACTGGCTGGCGTTACTGATCAAGACACTGTGGGAATTTATTTGCAGTCGCGTGGCAATTTTGGAACGAAGGTCAGACAGCAGCAGTGGACGACAATGGCTGCAGAGATCAGGAGTTGGAAGGATGAAGCATTTTCAGATTCGCTTGTGCTGGATTCAATCAGCAATCAGAAATGGCGAGTTTGGTATTTTTCCTATAGGCACGCAGCTCAATGTGGCAGATCTGAATACAAAGCGGCTAACAGCAAAGAGGAGAAGGTTCCTGATGTATTTCATTGGGATGCTTCTTGAACAAAGCAAGCGAGGCGATATGCGTGGGAGAAGAGGAGAAAGATGCATATTTATTGGAGAAGGTGACGAAGGAACATGTGAACCGTGTGGTGTGTGAATTTGGTTCAAATATTGGCAAGAAGAAGTGTTTTCAGGCACTATTGATTGCGCAATTGTTTGGTGGAGGACGTGGAACTGAAGCAGTAAATGCGGTGATGGAGAACGAGCAACATGTGTGGTGGTGGACTGGATTTTATACATGGTTATGCATTTCAGGTTTTGTGGCAATTACATGTGGTATTTGCATTTTCTTCTGGATTGGAAAGAGGATGTGGCTCCATCTGGAAGAGCGTTTGGAGCGAATTGTGCATGAGGTACTGGAAAATGAGAGGAAGAAGGAAATGAAGAAGATTGGAGGGAACTGCATTACTGGTCAAGACCAGTGATAGATGGTATTCACGAGGAAGATGGACCAGTTTCCTTCAATGAAGGTGGAACGGAACCGGAGCCTCATCCAGAGGCACTGGAGGTGGAATGGCCTGAGAACGAGTCCTTTTCACAATTTGTGATGCGGCAAGTTTTTTCTTCTCCACCAAGACTTGATACAAGAAGACGCACTCACCAGGGCCCTTCGCCGCCAGCATGCCCGCTTGCTCTCGCCAGAAGGCACACCGAACGCGCGTGCCCTCTTGCTGCACGACTGCGTTGCATACCGGAACTCTGCCAGCTGCCGTGTCCCTCTCAACCGTGCCCGGGTTCTCCTCAATCTGCACCGCGACGCAGATTTGCTGCCCTTCCTTCACCCGGTCCAGAGAACGAAGCGGCTCCCAAGACTGGCACGTTCGGCCAAGGCAAAGCGTCCAGCTTCTGCACGATGACATTCACACCCACCGTGCCCTTCACCCGCAAGTGATACGGCAGCCGTGAAGTCGAGTAGTTCTGCCCAGCCGGAATGTGCGTCGCCCCAGCAATCGAAATCAAGTCCCCCTGGGCGAGCTTCTGTTTCAGATGGCCCGCCTGCTCCCCCCAAGCTTCCACATAAAGCACCTCGTTCACGCTCTCGGCGCCAGCAAGATGGATCTCCAGCTTCAAAGTAGCCGAGTCTGGCGTCTTCTTGCCCTTGCCGCCTTTGCCTTGCCGCCAAATGCTGCCAAATGCTTGCCGCCAAATGCTGCCAAATGCTTGCCGCCAAGTGCTGCCCCTGCCACGCAAACACACGCTCAGATGCACAGAATGCTGCGCCTGCCACGACTTCGGCAACGGCATCTCCAAAGTGCTGCGCCTGCCACGATTCCGCGCGCCCCGAGCCGCGCGCAACAACATCCCAGCCCTTTAGACAGCTGCCAAATGCTGCCCCTGCCACGCAAGGACACACTCAGATGCACAGAATGCTGCGCCTGCCACGACTTCGGCACCGGCATCTTCAAAGTGCTGCGCCTGCCTAGATTTCGCGCGCCCCGAGCCGCGCGCGCGACAACATCCCATCCCTTTAGACAGCTGCCAAATGCTGCCCCTGCCACACAAACACAAGCCCAGGTGAGTGTGAGTGAGTGTGAGTGAGTGAGTGCGTGAGTGAGTGAGTGAGTGTGAGTGTGAGTGTGAGTGTGAGTGAGTGAGTGTGAGTGAGTGTGTGTGAGTGAGTGTGTGTGAGTGAGTGTGAGAGAGTGAGTGTGTGTGAGTGAATGTGAGAGAGTGAGTGTGAGCGTGTGTGAGTGAGTGTGTGAGTGAGTGTGTGTGAGTGACTGTGAGAGAGTGAGTGTGAGTGAGTGAGTGAGTGTGAGACAGTGAGTGTGAGTGAGTGGGCGGCGGGGGCGGCGGGGCGGGCGGCGGACGGCGGGGCCGGACGGCGGACGGCGGGCGCGGAGCGGTAGCAAACACACACTCAGATGCACAGAATGCTGCGCCTGCCACGACTTCGGCAATGGCATCTCCAAAGTGCTGCGCCTGCCACGATTTCGCGCGCCCCGGGCCGCGTGCGCGACAACATCCAGGCCCTTTAGACAGCTGCCAAATGCTGCCCTTGCCACGCAAGCACACACTCAGATGCACAGAATGCTGCGCCTGCCACGACTTCGGCAATGGCATCTCCAAAGTGCTGCGCCTGCCACGATTTCGCGCGCCCCGAGCAGCGCGCACGACGACATCCCAGCCTGCCCCTGCCACGCAAACACACGATCAGATGCACAGAATGCTGCGCCTGCCACGACTTCGGCAACGGTAACTTCAAAGTGCTGCGCCTGCCACGATTTCGCGCGCCCCGAGCCGCGCGCGCGATAACATCCCATCCTTTTAGACAGCTGCCAAATGCTGCCCCTGCCAAGCAAACACACGCTCAGATGCACAGAATGCTGCGCCTGCCACGACTTCGGCAACGGCATCTCCAAAGTGCTGCGCCTGCCACGATTTCGCGCGCCCCGAGCCGCGCGCGCGACAACATCCCATCCCTTTAGACAGCTGCCAAATGCTGCCCCTGCCACGCAAGCACACACTCAGATGCACAGAATGCTGCGCCTGCCACGACTTCGGCAACGGCATCTCCAAAGTGCTGCGCCTGCCACGATTTCGCGCGCCCCGAGCCGCGCGCGCGACAACATCCCAGCCCTTTAGACAGCTGCCAAATGCTGCCCCTGCCACACAAACACAAGCCCAGGTGAGTGTGAGTGAGTGTGAGTGAGTGAGTGAGTGAGTGAGTGAGTGAGTGAGTGAGTGTGAGTGTGAGTGTGAGTGAGTGAGTGTGAGTGAGTGTGCGTGAGTGAGTGTGAGAGAGTGAGTGTGTGTGAGTGAGTGTGAGAGAGTGAGTGTGTGTGAGTGAATGTGAGAGAGTGAGGGTGAGTGTGTGTGTGAGTGAGTGTGTGTGAGAGAGTGTGTGAGTGAGTGTGTGTGAGTGACTGTGAGAGAGTGAGTGTGAGTGAGTGAGTGTGAGACAGTGAGTGTGAGTGAGTGGGCGGCGGGGGCGGCGGGGCGGGCGGCGGACGGCGGGGCCGGACGGCGGACGGCGGGCGCGGAGCGGTAAAAGTAAGAACTCCACACAAAGATGTGGGGAACAAGAACAAGAACAAGAACAACAACAAGGACACGAACAACAACACGGACAACACCAACAGCAACAACCAGGACAACAAGAACAAGAACAAGACCAAGACAAGAACAAGAACACGAACAAGAGCAACAAGAGCAACAAGAACACCAAGGGCAACAAGAGCAACAGGAACATCAGGAACAACAGGAACAACAGGAACAACAGGAACACACAGGAACACACAGGAACAACGAGAAGAACAAGCAGAACAACAACAGCGAGAACAAGAACAAAAAACAAACAAGATTAAGAACAAGATCAAGAATAAGAACAACAACGACAGCCACAACAACAACAACAACAGCAACATCAACAACAAATAGCAGCGGTAGCAGCAGCAACAACCACCACCACCACAACCACAGCAACAACGACAGCAACAACGAACAGCAACACCACCACCACCACCACCAACAACAACAACAACAGCAAGAGCAACCGCATCAACAATAGCAACAACAATAGCAACAACAATAGCAACAACTGCAAGAGCAACAACAGCAATAACAACAACAGCAACAGCAACAGCAGCAGCAACAGCAGCAGCAACAGCAACAGCAACAGCAGCAGCAACACCATCACCAACAACATCAACAATAACAACAACAACAACAACAACCACAACAACAACAACAGCACCACCACCACCACCACCAACAACAACAACAACAACACCAACAACAACACCAACACCAACAACACCAACAACACCAACAACACCAACAACACCAACAACAACAACACCAACAACACCAACAACACCAACAACACCAACAACACCAACAACACCACCACCACCACCACCACCACCACCAACAACAACACCACCACCAACAACAACAACACCACCACCAACAACAACAACTACAACTACAACTACAACTACAACTACAACTACAACTACAACTACAACTACAACTACAACTACAACTACAACTACCACCACGACTACTACTACTACTACGACTACGACTACGACTACGACTACTACTACTACTACTACTACTACTACTACTTGTACTACTGCTACTACTTGTACTACTGCTTTGACGACAACAAATCCGGAGAAGACCCGGCACGGAGTTCCAAACCAAGGCCCAACCAAGGGAGCAAAACACTGCCAGCGTTTCTTCTTCTACCGGCCCTCTCACTGGAAAACCAAGTTGTTTTTCTGGATTCGTGTCCTTCTGCGAGGGCACCTTTTCGTTGCATTACAACCAAAAGGAATGGGGGACACCGAGCCAATGGTGGGGGCCTGCATCCAATTTTTTTTGGACGTTTGGAACCATCTTGCATCTTTGCCTTTGACGTATAGAAATCCTGGGTTCAGGTTGAGCGTTGACAGCCATATTCAGACACACCCCTTCCTTTTTCGTTTTTCTTTCCCACCTAGTGGCAGGCCTTGGGTGCAGAAGACCAGCTTCGCCAGCGCACCGCCTGGGCCTTGTCTCAGGCGCGATGTCTTTTTTTCACTTCGAGACGAGGGACACAGAGACAAGCCAAGTGTATATGCACATACATTCGCTCTTATACATATGCAACAAATACATCTACGTATGCATTAAGCCAAATATGCATTTTTTGGGGGAGAGCTACCCTGTTTGGGCTGCTCTCAAAGGAAGTCACATGGGTATCGCTCATGGAAACTGGAGCCCAGGAAATCGGCAGTGGTTCCTTTTAGCTTTCTCTCTTCAAGCCCGCGAGTTGGGTATTCTCAAAAAGGAAACGAGAGGATACAAATTGACACGCCACATGGGTGTGCCTTTTTTGGCACCCAACACAATGAATGGTTTCCTTTTGGTTTCCCTTTGACCCCCCAAAAGCAAAGCAAGGGCAGCCAAAAAAAACGCCAGAAACAAATGCGTGTGCTATTTTATGGGCGCCCCTGCATGCGCTATTTTATGGACGCCCCTTTTTGATCGTAGGACCCCCCACGAGGGACAAACCCAAAGCCACAATCAAACCCTTCTGATGGGTTTTCGGGTAGACTTTTGGTGTACTAGGGTCCGTTTTTGCTCACATGAGCCACTGGAAATCGAGGGCGTATTCCAGGAGGGGGGGATCCTCGAGAACGACTTTGTTTAATTTCCCTTCACGCAGCAAACAAACAGCGGACTCCCCATGTCGAGCCCCCCCTCAGTTTTTTTTGGGTGTTGGGTTCGAAGAAAAACTACTTTGTTTTGTCCTCTGGTCCGTATTTCAAGTCTATCACAACTTCCGATGGTTCTGAAAACGCAAGCGATATGTTTCTCCATGTCCGGACCCGTCCGGTAGCTGTGTCACTCCTGATGTCTGGGCCAAAAAATGCTCGCAAGAGTTAAAAACGAGCGATGCGGGGAATCAGCTTCTAGAAATGTCCTTGGTCCGTAAGGATGTATGGGAAATGGTCTCAACCCAAGCCTTATGAGGGGTGCGGCCTCAACCTTGCTTTGTGTTTTGGGGGTTCTTTCCCTGCAACTAGGAAGTTTTGTCTGGATCTCAGTTGTAGGTGTAGCATGGGCTCTCTTAGGCGCCCCGCTGTTTCCAACTAAGCTCTTGCCACCCCTCTCCACGGCAACTTCAACGGCCTGGCAACATATCCCCGTAATGTAGGATGGTCCTTTCCGAAGACTCGTCCCCTCTTTTTCCAACCTAGAAGGCGAGGAAACACGCACGCGCACAACCAAGCAAGAAAGCAAGAAAGCAAGAAAGCAAGAAAGCAAGAAAGCAACAAAGCAAGAAAGCAAGAAAGCAAGAAAGCAAGCAACCAACCCAACAAGCAAGCAACGAACCAAGCAAGCAGGAAGGCAAGCAATGAAGCAAGCAACCAACCTACCGACCGGCCGGCCAACTGTCCGACCAACCAACCGACCAGGTACAAACAGCCAAATTGCCTTTGGCACCACCTCGAACTCGAGCCAAGTGTTGATCGCAGATCTTTGTCGTGAGCGCGAATGGCTTTGGCCGCAACGAGCGCACGGAGGTGTGGCTGAACTACTACGCGCCACGGCAGCAAGGCATGTATGGAGGGCCACTGGTCACCCGAGTGTCCAACGAAGGAGTTGCTAAAAAGAATTGTTTTGTTGCTTTCTGTGCAAGTGTCTGTGCTTTCTGCGGTTTCCCTCTTCAAAAACTGCGTGTACTCACCAAATGTGAGCATTTCCCAACAGGAGTTTCGTCCAAACCTCCATGGCCCGGCTTAGTCTCAGGGGGGATCCATTCCGATGGTTTTGTGGTCGCACTGCCAGAAGCGTCCATAAAAGTAACCTGCTCCTTAAATGACTTTGTCAAAGTAACCCAGGTCTCAATGTTTTGCCGAAGTTTATTGTGTATGTGATGGAGACCTGGTTTCCTTTTGGTTTCAAACGCTTGCAAGAAGGGGGGCATCCAATTCCTGCTTGTTGATTGCTATACATTTCTCCAAAACGGGGTCCAATGCCCCAAACGGATTTTGGAGGGACGGCGCCGCGTCCGCGAGGACATCTTTGTGCGCAATGCCTTTGGGAACTTCCGAGACTTGCTTCGGGAGGCGGGTGAGCTGCCTCTCTGTAATCCAATCGACCTGACATGACCTCTTGTTTTTTTCTCAATTTGGTCCATATTTAGTCATATTAGTCCCTATGTTGGTTCCATTTTCCCATGGTTGTCCCATGTTTGGTTCATGGCCCCAAAAGGTTGACCTAGTTCCGGGTCCTTCGGGCTGGGGCGGATGCCCTTGCGGGGGTTCCATTCAACTTGGCGTGTCTGTAGCGGATCGGGTCCCCGAAATGGGTTTCGAACCAACCCGAACCAAGGGGTAGTTGACGGGCGGTGAAAGCCACCCAAAAAGGGGTCCATTTCAAGAAGCGCCCTAAGAAACCATGGCAAGAAGCTTTTCATCTGCCCCTTGAAGGCATGGTTTGCCTTTATTTTTGGTCCATTGCGTATACCAATTTTGCAACCAACCCCATGAGCAAAACGGCGGCTTCACAAGCGGCTTTTGGGCGGTGCTCGTGGCGTTGTCTTTTGTTGGGGGAAGAAGGAGAGGTGCTGGGGTGAAAGAGGTCTTCGAGCTAGTGTTTGTTGCTGAATGGTTTAATGTGTGTCTAATGTTATTTAGAATCAGTTTCATGGGTTAGTGGGTTCGGTGGGTCAACGGGTTCGTTCATTCAACAAATTGGTGGCCCAAACGGTCATTCCTGTCGCTCTGCTATGGCTTGCCAGCTCCAAGTATGTGTCCTTCCTCAAATCCTGGAGATGATTTCGAACATTGACAAGACCTATCCGCAATTGAAACCCAGGAGCATTGAGAGCCACCCTGTAATCACCATGGTTCGTGATTGGTTTACTTGCTTGATCTCCAGAATCCATCGTACTACGGACCATAGGTCAATGGCGAGGACCCAGCTCGTCGGCAAAGTGGGTCCTCCATCACCAAATGGGAGAAATCGGTCTGTCTTACTTGGAGTTGGAGACCATTTCTTGGGGCCCTTTCCCCCCACATTGTGGGGCGATTTCATGGCGGTACTCCTGAGGGGGGCGCTGCTGAATCAACCGGTTCCTCATGGTTGTCGTTGTTCGTCTTCTATTCAGGGGAACCAGTTCCTTTCGAAACAAATGGGAATGCACCTGCACCCCAACCAATCAGAGCCTGCTGGCTTCTTCTGCGCTTGATTTCCTCAAACACATTCCCTACCATTCTGACGTCCGGTGTCTAAAGGTTGATCCCTTCTTTGTGTGCGCCCTTCTTTTGAACAACCATCCTAGTTTTTGGGCCCTCAAGAATGGGTTGCTTTGAAGCTATTAAGGATCCTTGAGGGGTCGAATATGGGCTATTCATCGGGGCCCCGGGTCTGCATAGGGTGGCCCTGGCACCAACAACTCAGCACATCTTCTGAGAAGGATCCGTGCAAATGGGGGGGAGGTGCACCATGAGTGTTCTTCCTACCCGGTTGCTTCCTTACTTTTCTTGGAGGGGGCTTTGCGCCCTTGAACAACTACCGAGAAGGGTCCCAATTCTTTTCCACGGGAATCCACTGGGGGGGGACATCCAACCTGGTCTTCCAAGCTGGAAGGTGACCTACAATCCGCTCATGGGCAGCTACCTCACCAACACAGGTGCTACTCGCGGACGGGAAGCCAAATGTGTGAAGCCACATGAATTTGGGAACCAGTTTTTGAGTGTGCGAGTGCGCTCGAATATCTTGAGTATCTGCCACAGGTGTTTTGACACCCAGAAAAACATGGTTTGAACATTCGCCAAGTGTGTTGCAACACTTGCCAAATGAGTGTGTCTTAAGACCTTCTGACTGTTTTTTTTTTTTGGTGTGTGTGTGTGTGTGTCTGTGTCTGTGTCCGTGTCTGTGTCTGTGTCTGTGTCTGTGTCTGTGTCTGTGTCTGTGTCTGTGTCTGTGTCTGTGTGTGTGTGTGTGTGCATGTGTTTTTTTGTGTATGTGTGTATGTATGTATGTGTGTGTGTGTGTGTGTGCACATTCGCCACATTGCTTGAACACAAACCATGTGTGGTTGAAGTGTGTCTCGAAAATTCACCGCCACATCATTGGTCAAGCAGGCGTGGGCAACTTACACAACCCCGGGCTAAACTGAGTTGTGTAAATTTGAATTGGGTCCCCAACACGGGGGGCGGCAACCATGCAAGGAAGGGCAACAGAATTCGGAAGCCAGTAAGTTGCTCAGAAATATGACAACCCCCCAAATGGTGGAAGAAATCGTATTGCTTTGTCGACTAAAGCCAAAGTGCTGGAGGCAGCTCTTCCTATGACTACAACAACCGCTTCCCCAACGAGAACTACGCACGTGAGGCCGGACGAGCCGGAAAGTGTTCCTAAAGGACCCCAAAGCCAATCAGGCCTACATCCGGGCGGTTTTTCTAAGCGCTTGGAGTTGTTGGGGTGCTGGGTTTATAGGAGGTTCGGTCAAGACTAACAGTAGGCTATGGTCCATTTGGGAGCGACATGGGGGCCGCTGACCGTCGCTCATGGGGTTGTGCGTATTGGCCCATTCAGGGAATTCAAGAGGTTGTTTAAGCGAAAGTGGGGTGTTGCAAAATCTGTCGTTCGTAGGAAGTAACTACATTCTCCATCGATTCGCTTCCGGGGATGTCAACCTGGTATGTAGGAGATATGTAAATATTTATGGTTGAGGGAATGTTTCACGGGCTGGTGGGCTTTTGGTTTATGGTCCTTTTTCGCATGATCCAAGCAGCAGCTTTTGGGGGCTTGGGGTGAGTTTTTCCCGTATGGTTGGTGGCCATTCTCCTGGACCTCGCCTGATTGCCGCCACCTCAAGGATCCCATTTCTGGATTGGGAAGCTGGGGCAGGTTCCTCAATTTGATGGTTTTTTGGGGTGCTTTTCCACGAATCAGATCATGCAGCTCTTCACCATTGGACTGGATATGCTGTATCCCAACGGCACCGCCGTCAGAGATGCCCAGGCCAGCGGCGCCTGACGATCCGAGTTTGGTTCAAGGGTGGTTTCCTCTTGTGTTTCCTTAGAATGCAACCCCAAGATGCCGTGTCATCAAAACAAGCACCACGCTCGCGTGTTGTCAGAAAATTGGGTGCCTTGGATATTGGGGCTATTAAGGCTAGTCAGGGGCGCGGGTTTCGGCAAACCGCTGGGGCTAGCCCTCAGCCGATTTTCGAGGCCATTCGCAAACCCGAGTGGGATTTTGGTTGTCCGAAACATGTCTCGTGTCTGCGCGCAAGGGCAACGTGGTGCCCACCTATGGCATGGACAAGATCGTGAGCTTCGCCAAAGTTTTCACTGGCTTCCAGGAGCCGATTCCTCCCAAAGCCAACAGTCCCCTTCGACGTTGCCGTTGGGTGCTTTGGTGAGGGGCATTTTTTTTTTTCCGGGCGGATTCTTAAAGGGAAGCCAACAGGATAGGGCCCCACGTTCAAGGGCTCAAGCCCTATTTTGACACATACAATTTCGGTGGGCCAAGTCAAGAGGTACTTGGGTGCATTGAACATGTTTCACATTCGGGCCATCAAGGCTCGAGACCAGATGGAAGCCTCTAGGCAGCGTTGAAAAGGTGCGGTTTCACTTCATCCGATTCATGCCATGTCACGACCCTCGCACTGGCATTTCTACTTGGTAGCGGAGCCCATGGGCATGATTGACCTTTGGACTACTTGCTTTTCTTCTAGCAGGTTCTGTGGGAGCTCTATCGCAACCACACGCAGACCTGAACTCGGCTGGGCAGATGAACAGGACTGCCAGCCACCTTGTCATTGACCCTGTCACGAACTTTGAGTTTCACTATGGCACCCTTGTGAGCCTGCGGAAGCCCCTCTACGTCAGGATTGCACCGTTCCAGAACTTCAGCACGCGGTCCGAGTACGGCCACGTTCCGGAGAACGAGGGCTTTCTAGGCTACTCGGACGTAACGATCACGGACTCCGAGCACATGCGCTTCAGTGTGGAAGGCATGATCATGAACGCTGAGAATGGCCTAATGTTGTCGGAGCCCTTTCCGGTGCAATCTCCGGAGACGAATTTCACTTGGCTGAGCATCAGCCACAGGCACAGCGTGATCACGGATATCCGGTGGCTGGGCATTCATGCGCCGGTCAACAGCCTGATGCTGGTCTGCTTCATCGCGGTCGCCACCCTCGGCACGATCATGTGCTGCTGCATGCATCAGCAGCGACCGCACGGGCACCGCCCGGACTGGCATCAGCATGCAGCTGTAGGGGATGCAGGCCCACCGTATGTGGGCACTGCGACGCTCAAGGTGCCGCCGGCATTGAGAGGAACGTCAACTACTCTCTGAGGTCGTGGCTGTCAGACCTTGTGCGGTGCAGAGGCAAGGACCGGTGGCAGCGCTGCAGATCACCGGGAGTGCCAAGGAGATCATGCGGGAGATTCCGCCTGCGCACCCGCGCGACGGGGGGGCGCGACAACCTTGGGAACCACACGCCGGGGCTCATGATCCTGGTGCAGACTCTGGTGCAGCGGTATGGGCCGCTCGAAGTGGAGCAATCCACGAAGGCCTTGTCGGAGTACCTCAACCTCTTCCGTTTGCAGGGCAAGAGCATCGACTCGTTCTTGGTCCGATACGAGGCACTTCGGCACCGAGCTGCTCAGCAGGGCAATCTGGGCATGAACGCCACTGGAGCAGCATGGCTACTGCTGAGTGGCCAGCAATGGTCAATTGCCACAGCCTCGTCGTTGATCATGATGAGCTCGCACTGGTGCGCCCCGCCGTCCCGCTCCAGGAAGACCCGCGCGCTCTGGTTGCCCAGCAGCCGCAGCTCCGGGCCGCTGTCGGACGCCGCGCTGTTGTTGGAGATCTGCACCTTGCTCCAGCCGGCCCAGTTTTTCGTCAGAGTGAGGTCGTCCGCGAAGTCGGAGGTGTTGGTTACGGTGAGACAAGCGAGGCGTTCTTGAGAGGGCTGACTTTTGAGGAGTTGTTTCAGAGTGGTCACAGCTCAGAGATGAGGTCAGTGCAGCTGATTTTGCCCGAGGGCAACAAGGAGCTACTTCACACAATCCCAGGGATGGAAGATTTCAATCCCGACACGGAGTGCCTCGAGCTGCTGAAGCCAGGTTTCAGCTTCAAGGACGCGCCATTATGTGGGCGAGCTTGCGTGGGTACGCCCTGATGTGGCGATCTATATCTCAGCCTTGCAAAGGCATTTGCAAAATCCACGGGCAGTGGACGTTCTGAACGCAAATCGGGTTCTGCGATACTTGAAATAGCATCCTCGGTCGATGAAGATCAGACGCGTGAGTGCCCCATGGCAGTTGATTGTGGTGTCAGACAGCGCCTATAAGTCAGACACACAGGATTGCTTGGCGATGGCACAGTGGTGCAATTTTCTTGGCGGACAAAACAGGTTTGCGACAAGGCGTCAACGACGTGCAGCTTGTCGATTTTGTCAGCGAGAAGCAGACACGGGTGTGTCGGAGCACATTTGTGGCAGAGCTGTTTAGCCTCCTTGATCTTGTAAACCACGGTATCAACATCAGCTTGGCGATGACAGAAATCTTGACGGGCATTAAGGGCGTAACCGAACTTGCAAAGCTTCACGAGCGCGGTGAACATGCCGTAATACCGCTGTCATCGACGCCAAGTCGGTTCTTGAATCAGTGAAAGTAAAGGAGGTGAAGGTTCCGACCGACCAAGCAGTTTACGTACATGTGCTTCGCTTGACAGAACTTTGCAGAACACAGCTGAGCAGCTTGGTTTGGATAGATACGCGAGATATGATCGCTGACGGACTTAACTAAGGTTCGGTCAAGAGGGGCCCGCTTCAGCAGCTTCTTAGGGATGCTCAATGGCGGGTGGACAATCTCTTGGTGCGACGTCAAGAGGGCGCGTCAAAGACGCAGGCATGAACAACCTGAGTCAAGAAGTACTTGGGTGCATTGAACATGTTTCACATTCGGGCCATCAAGGCTCGAGACCAGATGGAAGCCTCTAGGCAGCGCTGAAAAGGTGCGGTTTCACTTCATCCGATTCATGCCATGTCACGACCCTCGCATTGGCATTTCTACTGGCCAGCCCAGCGTCCCTAGATTGCCATTTTTGGTGGTCAACGTTTGGCCCCTAGGTGAGTTTCCAGTTCGGGATGATGTCTAAGGAGGGCAATGTGGGGATCCCTGTTGACTTTTTATTAACCTTGCCGTGGTGAAACGGGCGCTGCCCATGTGACGATGGGCCCCTTCGAGCAATAAAATTGTTTCATTTCTAGCTCCATGACCCTTCGGAATTTCCCATGCCAAATCACACAACGTGGCAGCCCACACCCAATGTTGTCTACATGCCGTTTGGCATCCGCCACATTGCCCCGTTGGGTCAGACGTGGAGAGTGGTTGCTGGTTGAGCGGGCAAATGAACAAACAATAAGTCTGGCACTGCTTCTGGGCGGCTGTTTCAAACTGCCACGAGGACATCTGGGATTTGTTTTGACATTACTTAGGGCAAAAGCTGAGGTCGAAACCACGACAGCTGAGGTAGTTTCTATCAGGGAAGAACTTTCTTGAAGGCCAACTTTTCTGCCCTTGTAAAAGAGTGGAATGGGAGATCGTCCCGAAAAAGCGCCCCGAAGACGGCGGGGCACCGCCCATTTTGGGGGTCTCGTCCGAGCCAGAATTCGCCTGGCTCCTTGGGAGCCGCCTTCAGGAGCGCTCATTTCGCGCAAACATTGAGAACTGGGACAACGACAATCTCATTGACCCCCTGAAGGCCTTGCTTTTGGGCCTTCGACCCCGCTTGCCTTCGACTTGCTTGTTTTCTCCACAAGTGGCTTGCCAGTTCTTGGCCGGTTTTTCCCGTTTCTCCCGTCCAATTTCCCAGAGCTTTTTGGGATAGTTTCCGGGCAGTTTGGCCCGAAGTCTCGGGGTAGTCTTGCCAGTAGTTTGAGCCTTGCCAGTCGTCTCATGGGAGTCTTGCCGGCTGCCTGGCCTGCTACTGGGGTTGGTTGCAAAATCGGTTCGAACAACCAGTGGCCATGACCCTCTCCAAAAAAAAGCTGCCCAAATTGTGCTTAACCTAATTGCATGTTTCAGGGAAGCTGCAAGGAAAGCCCAAAAATGTAAAACACACCCACACACCCCGCAGTTTATTGCTGTGTCTCAACAGGTGCCAACCTCACAACCCTTCTGGAATCTGATCATATGGCTTTGGAGGGCATCCGTGAGAAGACAGGGGGGCAGAGGCAGTTGGGTGCCTGGGATTCCGTAAATCCAGTTTGCGCATCAATGATAGCCATTTGACCCGTTTAATGGTTCCGACTCTTGCTTTGGGATCTTTGTGGTTCCCAATCCGCAAATCTAAGCCTCGATGTTTTCTGTGGGCTGCGCTAGTGACCCCCGATGCAAGTAGAGCTTGTCGCATGTAAAGCGATCCGACTCCCTGGTAATCAACCGGGGTCATGAAAGACTTAGGAGCCCATTGACTTATTTACTTTGTTTCCTTGGAATTAGCAAGGGTGTAAACTTGCACACCATGTTTGGCAGTTCCCGACCGCCTTTGGGACTTATGTTGGGAGGGGCCAGTACGAACCGTTTAACTCGAAAAGCAGCGTTGAGTTGGAACTCGAAGGTGCCCAGACCGATTCCCGATTGAGCAGCTGCCCCTTTTGAACAACTTGCTTTCGGAGCTGAAAGACAGCTGCCCCCAAAAAAGTGCAAATTCTTTTTCTATGGCAAACGGGGGGTCTGGGGTATGGTAGATATCCAAGGGAACCACCCTTAGACACAGGGAACATGGGCTCCGGTGGATCTACAAGGACAATACCGGGAAAAAAGGGGTCGGCCTCACAAAAAACGGGCCTGACACCCAACTTGTCCGCCAAAAAAGAAGGGGGCAGACAAGGACATCTCTGACCAAGTAAAGCTTTGGCAACAAACACCTTGGCAACCAAACTTGTCAACTGATTGAGGTTTGGATGCTCCAAACTTGAACCACATCACCACACCCCTGCACCAAGAGGGTTTTGTTTTTGCATTTTCACCCGAGATGGACGCGGGCCGGCACGACGTGCACCCGAAGAACGACCTCTACGGCGGCTATCTGGGCGACGGTCTGCCGCTCTGCGCCTCCGCGTCCGTGGTGTCGAAAGGCGCCCGCTTTGAGCCCTCTGGCTGTGCGGGGATGGCGAAGCAGATGCTCAAAAAAGCAGGGGTGGGTTTACAGGGAACAACCGCCGGAATTTCGAGCGTCTTGAGGTTTCTCAGAAGAACCCATGTGGGAACCGGGGATGGGGTCTCCTCAACAGTTTGACTACTTGAGGTGCCCCAGAGTTGGGCCGAGGTTGGGCAATTTGTTTAAGGAACCAGACTCGGGCCCAGTTTTGAAGGGGAAGAAAGAGTGTTTTTAACACGTTTGGTTGCGCAGGGGGTTTGCCCAACCATGCTGGGAACCTTTGCAAATGGGCCCGGTTGCCCTTTGGTTTGGATTGAAGGACTCCTTTTGGATGCCAAACTTGCCGCAAAATGAACCCCTCTGCACCAGCACTCAAACAAGCCCAGCTGTCCTTAAACCGCCCCTAAACCAATACCAAAACAAACCCAATACCAACTCTAAACCCTGAAGTAACATGGCTCTAAACAACACTAACCTCGTAAACCCCTTCTGGACAAGCCGTGAAACACCCCAAAACTGATCTAGGATCATCTACACCCTTTTGCCACCACCAATAAAATTACCTCCGAAGCCCTAGCCCGTGAGAACCAACACTGAACAAATCCTGCAAACCACTCCAACCGTACATCCAGCGGAAAACCAGCCTAGACCCGCTAAACTAAACCAACCCTTGACCAGCTTAAATCACTCCGCAACCCCGGGGAGCGGGAGCTGAAGGGGACCCCCGACCTTTCAACGGGGTGGTTGGGCGCGGGGAGGCGGGGGGGACTATAGTTGGAGCTCTCTTCTTGCCATCTGAGGCTGTACAGCGTCGCCTACATGGGCGAGGTCTTGGATGTGTTGCCAGGCGATGGATCCCGAAATCGAGCTTGAGCGCCTCAAGTGCTGGTGAGGGTTCCTTTTTAGTAGGCTTTCATTTCTTCCAGAAAAAGATGAGTACCTACGGGGTTATTAATCAGGGGTCAACATGGAAGGTGTGTGGGAATCCACTTGTGCACAACGGGCGTGCAAGCCAGACTCTGGCCCCTCAGAGGGGAACCACATGGTTGTTTGAATGTTGACATGTCTCTAGGGAAAGCAAGCAGGTGCAGTGTACAACTGACCCCAAATCGGGGGACCCCAAACATACCTTGATTTCCCTTAACGTTCCATACATGGTACCCAAGCATGGTGTTGGTGCTGGCGATGCTGGCGACGCTGGCCATGCTAGTGATCCTAGCATTGGATGCTGGTGATGTTGGTGATGCAGGTCATGCTGGTGATGCTGATGATACTTGTGATGCTGATGATGCTGGTGATGCTAGTAATGATGGTGATGCTGATGATGTTGGTGATGCTGGTGATGATGGTGATGCTGGTGATGATGGTGATGCTTGTGATGCTGATGATGTTGGTGATGTTGGTGAGGTGGTGATGCTTGGGAACCCCATAATGAGAGGTTGACACACTTGGCGGAACGCAGAGGCCAGTTTTGTTGGAGCGGCCCCCGTTGCACGGGATGCAAACCTCGGGGCGCAGCTCCTCTTACGGAGTTCTCGCCCGCATTTTTTGCGGAGATGAAGCAGCGAGCCAAGAGGGCATTGAGGTTATGGTGGATTGATTTCCATTGTTTGCCTTGTAAGACCTCCTTATCGGAGTGTAGGGAATTCCCTGTAGAAGATGCCGTTGATTGCTCTTGATATGAAACCAGACTTGCTATTACAAGGGATTGAAGTTAAAGGGTGTGCACTGGGCTGAGGTGCAAACTGCCCTGGAGGGGACTTGGTTGCTGTTGAGCCCTTCGCAAAGAATCTTCGGGAATTCAACCCAGAATCCAGAATCCGGGTTATCCAAATACTGTTGGCGGGAACCCCTTCAAGCCACCCTGTAGACGGTCACGTTGAGGATGTGACACTTTAATGGACCCCATTCCAGAACCATTCGCCCGAGCCCATGTAAATCCAGTGAGCGTGCAGGCTCCGATCTGTACACCGCCCTGCGCCTGGGCGGAGTTAGGTGGGAACAGTAATTGTTTTTGGGGGAACCTGTTCAGGTTGATCTAAAGGGAAGCCAGGAAGAAAATCAGCCATTCTTTTGGTGTCCCCTCTTTATCGAAGTGCCCGAGTGGCTCACTGAGACATGAGTGAGACACGATGGGGGCAATGTCGACCCCGCCTGGTGGCGATTTATTGAAAAGTCAAGGTGCCGCCTTGAATGGGTTTGTAAACCAGGGGTTTATAGTCTTCACGACCCTAAGGGTCGTACACCCAAAACTCGGGCCCTTGATCCCCATTTGCTAAGGGTCTTGGCGACCCTAGGACAGAGACGATACCAATCCCCTAATGGCAACCGAGCCATAATCTACCAGGTTTTGATTGTGACAGTGCAAACAAGCAGGCCTCCTTTTGCAGGGTGCTTGAAGGCACCGGACCACTTACCATTTTAGCGGCCACCTAAAGGAGAATTGACAGGGATGGAGAGCCTTGCGACGCAAAGTGGTCACGAACTCTTCAGGTTGGTGAGTCGGCTGAGATTCAGGTTTGCAAATCAAAAGGAACCCCAAAAGCAAATCAAAAGGAACCCAAAACCTGAAAAACAGCCCCTCAAAAGGGGGTTCTGTGGATTGTTCTGTTTGGGTTCCTTGCGTCAATCTGCAGCTGGGATCTTTTTGTGTGTTTGGGGTAATCTGCTTTGGCCGAACAACGGAGGGGTTGCCCCAAAGGGACGTAAGAAAACCCGGCAATTCACCGTGTGTTCAGGTTGGTTTGCTTGCACTTTATAGGGAATCCAGCAGCCCACTGGCAAGGAGGAGCCCATTGCAACCTAGAGATTTTTGGAAATTGAACTCAGGGCCAAACTTGTCGGGCCATCCTCCCATGGCTCCCCTTGCTATGATTGGGATGGATGAAACCCCATGAATATTGAGATAAGCCACAACTCCCAACTGGCGCGTTGCGTCAATTTCGTGGGTTGATGATCGACTACCAAACAAGGTGCCCTTTTGGAAGGGAATTCCACTGGCACCTGGGTCGAATCGCACGTGAGGTGTGCGGCTTCGGGACCCAGCTGCACCTTCCCCGTGGTGGTGGAGCTGCCGGAGGACTTGTCTTGCACGGGGGACGAGTGCACCGCAGAGGCCGGTGGAACGGTAGGGGACCTCGGGGAGGGGGGGGAAGGGTTCCCCTGGATGTTTCAAGCCAGGGCCGTTTGGGGTCTGTCTTTTTTGAGGAACCCATTTTAGGGCAAATTAGAAGGAGCCAAAGAAGGTCCATTTTGAGACACGGTAAAATTAAAGCATCTGGGTTGCTTGTTTTTCTATCCCAGTCCAATCAAAGAACAAGTGAGCGGCGCCCAAAGCCCTTGTTGGCCATTTGGCTCTACTGCCTGGTCTTCTGGTGGTTCTAGTATTTGGACAAAAACAGCCATATATAACTATATTGATAGAACCCAAAGTCAATGGGCCTTAGGCGCTGCTCCGTTGGAAAGCCACATATTTCAGGGATTCTCCGAGAAGGCAGTGCTCCAGCTGAGTCTTTCTACGGGCCCTGGCAGAGGGAGGAGCCCCCCTGAGTCATTGAGGGACCTCGAGGTGCCTTTTTGGTGGGGATACCTTGCTTCCAGTGGCACTCCCCTCCGCAATTGGGAGGTTTATTGATCAGGGCGTGGAAGTGCACAAGCCCGTTGAAAAGTTTAGTTCTGCGCACCTCCACATTGGTGGTGGGAGGAGACAGGGTGAGGCAAGTACCCGATGGGTGCCCCCGGCTCTCGCCCAAGCAAGTTTTCCTCGCGCATTCCAAGGCATATATCATCTCGCCCCTTGCACGGGTGCCCTCGAGTGGTAGTGGATTCCTCCAGGTATGAAAGCCGGATCCGTGTCCAACCACAGAAACACCAGATCTGGAGACTGGCTGGTAAGATCCCTGTTTTTTGTATATAGGGTATGGAAACCCCAATCCAAGGCGTGAAAGGACGACCGTCTTCAATTGAACCCTGCTTCCCCGCTAAACCGCCCTAAAAGGGGCTACTCAACAACAACGAGGCACACTGATACTTCCAACCGGTTGTTCAGTGACGCCCGTTTCTTCCTGTTTGTTTGCTGGGTCCTCAACCAAACGATTCCCTGCTTCTACCGTTTGGGGCAAATGGGGCAATCAGGGTCTCCCGAAGGTGCAGATTGTCAAGGTGGACGGCCGCTTCTACCGCTTCATCCCGCCGCCCTGTGTGTTGCTGGTCTTCAAGGGACGCCCCCCACGCCCCCAGCACAAGGGAGCCCATGGCCACTGCAGGTCCCGGTGGAGCGGGATGATCAAAACATATTTTGGGCAATCAACAGCTTTCCACACTCCCTCTGTATTGTGGTCTGTTGGTCCCGCGAGCAATTTGGTTCCTGGCCCGTTGGTCCTTTGGTCCCTTGGTATCCCGGGCCTTTTCTTTGGAGGGCCCATGTTTTGAGAGGATTATGACTTGCTCTTGTGAAATACTGTTCTTTTTTGGTTTTTCAGGGTGGATGGCTTGTCAGCTTTTTGGCTTTTGTGGCTTTTCCGTAGGTTTATGCGGCTTTTGGTGGTTTTTCCGGCTTTGGCTTGTCGCATCCTCTGCGTTCCCGGTTCCTCTCCGGCAGGTGGCTTTTTGGCGTTTGCGCCTGGTCGTTGGTTTAGGCGGCTCTTTTGGCTTTGGCTTTTCGCATCCTCTGCTTTTTCAGCTCCTCTCCGGCAGGTGGCTTTTTTGGCTTTTGCAGCCTTTCGTTGGTTTTTGGCTTTGGCTTCCCGCATCCTCAGTATCACCCATTCCTCTCCGGCACATGTTGTTTTATATTTAGTTTTATGTTAATGTTTGTGCTCTTTGTATGTATGCACGTGATCAATGTAATCTGTGTATGTATGTATGTCTGTACGTGCGCACTTTTTCGAACATCACGCGGGGGGCTGCCGCCCCTCCCAACCCCCCAGCTGCTTTTGAGAACTTTTACACAGGTTAACATGCACCCCTAGTTGAATCATCACTTTTGTTTCTTGATCCCGGTTCCTTGGTCGTTTGGGTCCTTCGGTCTAGTCCTTTGGCCCATTCAAATAGGTTGCTCAATCATTGCCCTTGGACCTTGGCTCCCTCTGGTGGTATCCTTGTCCCCTCTCGTGGCCCTTTCGTCGTCCTGCGCCTCTCTGGCCCTTGCGAAACACCCCGTTCACCTGGCCCCTGAGTGAAAATTGGTTTTGATGCGAAACACCCCGTTCACCTGGCCCCTGAGTGAAAATTGGTTTTGATGGCGAAGACGTTTTTTTTTGGATTGCGCGAAAAGGGCTCTTTGATTGTTGCATACGTTTTTTGGTGATACCCTACCCCTGTGGAGCAGGGTTCCAGCCAGATGCCCTCCTGGGTGATTTGAAGAGCATCGACTTGTGGGAGAGCCGAGGCTCCACGCAAAAGCGGAAACTGTGCCAAAGTACGGTTGGACACTGGCCATCCCTTCTTCCACGGCAGAGGTGTTTGCTAAACTTCAACCGGGGATATGTCACAGACCTCTTTTGGGATCAAGGGAAACCAACATGAGAGCGACCCTTACAACACGGGGGCCAACTGCGAACGCAACTCATGAGCGGATTCCTTTCTTGCTTCAGGCACTTCAGAGATGGGTGAAACCAATCGGAGAGTCCGGTTGCAAACGAGAACCAAGGATTGATGTCCCCCTGTTTGAATAAGAGGAGATCCTTCACTGGGGAAACGCCGCCTAGCACAGTGGTCTGTTTGTATACGGAGGCCTGATGGAATTTTGTGAATAGACCGATTCGGAGCTGTAGGGGAAACACTACAGCAGAATAGTAGCCATTGGGATGGTGACCAGGCGCCATTTCAATCATGTCCTTCCCATCCTCTTGTAATGGCTCTGAAACAGTATTCTGCTCGTCACAGGGAGTTGCGATGCGAGGTATGACTACCTGGAGACGACCAAAGGCAGCAGCGGCAGCTACTTCCCCATGGGCAAGGCCAAGTGCCCAGCGGGCACCCACATCATGGACTACAACGAGTGCGAGGCCTGCATTTTTGCTCAAAGTGCAGGGGAGCAACCACACACCAAGTTGTGCTCGTTGCCGTCTTTTTGGGACCATGTCGTCTTCTTCTTCCTCCGTGTTGAAACCGACGAGTTTTGGAAGAAACTCGTTGATGCAAAGGGTTGTTTGGATTTTTGGCCTTATTTGGCCTTCAAAGATTTTGGCCTTTTGTTTACCGGATTGATGGCTTTCAAAGGCTTGTCACCGTTGAACAGTACTGTTCACGGTCGACTCATCCAGCGGTTTTCCTCATGTTGTTTTTTAGTTTTGTGCTATTGGGCACACTGGATACACCCTACAGAGTTCATGGCAGCCTCCGAGAAAGGGCGCCTGGTTATGCGAAGTTTAAGGGTGGTGTCTCCAGAAGATAAGCCACCAGCTTGGAGCGCCCGTTAAGCCTTGGGAGTCTTCGGGATGCCAAATCATGTGTGTTTGCGGTTTCTGCAATTGTTTTTGGCATCGAATCATTTTGCATTTTGAGGCTTCAATAAATACGGATTAGACTGCGAACCCGTCGTTCTTTGGGGGCCAAATGTGGTATAGGCCACGCAATGGGGCCTGGAAGAAAGATTCACCAAGTTTCACAAGGTCGATCCCAATCTTTTCGCCCATTTGGGGGGGGGTTGATGGCAAAGGGACACCAAAAGCAAAACCACCATTTGGGGGGTCACCTAAGAAACGACACACCGCGTTGAGAAACCACAATTCCCCAGGTTTCTGCAATTCCTGAAACGATTGGGATGCCATCCAGAGGGGGCCACGCCCGCCGGAAGCCCTGGTTTACGCACTCGTTTTGGAGGAGTGCATCTTTTGCGGACGCTAAATTTGAAGGGGTTATGACACTGGATATTTTTGATGGTAGCTCTTTCCCCTATTTTGTGGTCAATGGCCACCCAATAGGGCCCCAATTCCCCACAAAGGCGACCAGTTCGTCCTATCACTGGGGTTGCTTTTGGATGCCCTGATAATGGGATATTTTTGAGTGGGAGAGAGTGCGAGAGAGAGAGAGAGTCTGAGAGGCGGCGGTGGTGGCGGTGTACGGCAGCCACGATGGGAACCCCAACTTGAGGAACAACACCTGGGCGCCCAAGGGCTGCTCCTACCGAACCGGCCGCACCATGGCTTGCCCAAGGCTGCGCTCCCATGTCTTGTTTTTCTCCCAAGGTGGGTTTCAGCATCACCTTTTGGTTGCTCGTCTTGCTCATCTTGCTCTTGTTTCTGGATGTGACGGTTGAAAGGGAAATGCCGTGATACAGCAACTGGACGGGCCACATGGTCCTTTTTGAACAAAACAGGGGAAAGATGGTGTGTAATATTAGACCCCGAAAGAAAAGACTGGTTCCCCCACCCAAACAGGCCTCAAGAAAGCTCGGAAACATTCCAGGGAAAGACACGGCTTTCACCCTCAAGGTTGATAGTGAGGGATGAGTCTCGATGCCCGCTGAATCCGAGGTATGTACGTCAACCCCCACCCGGTGGGGCGCACATCGGGCGGGGACTACAACACCATCTGCCTCCCGCACGTCTTTGTGCACGAGACGGGTCGCGTGAGTGCTAAAAACAAGGATCCGGTGGGCGGGCGAGTGAGTGAGGTCCGTTAACAACCATGCCGCAGATACTTGGCTGATTTGGAGCATCAAAGCAACAAAAGCAACACCCGAAGGAAGGATGCCAGGCAGAACGAGGGAACTCCTCACTTTTTTGGGAGACAAATTTTAGTTTGATTTCCAAATTGAAGGTGATGTAGAGCGAATTCTATGGTCGACCCTCTATGATGTCTATGGGTTGGACCTATGTGTTTGCGTTCCAATGGGGAAAGCGGTGTTTTCTCTTGGTCTCCGGGAAGAACAGCCGAAACCAGGAAGCGTGGGGGTGCCCATGTCCAAGCCCCAAACTTGACACCTTTTGGAGCTCCATTCAGAGGAACATGGAATGCATGGAATGCCCTCGGCTTGGTTTTTGGGGGGCTTGATAGACGGGGCTAAATGATAATACGCATATTTCTCTTCTCCTGACTTGGATTTTTCGACGTACACCTCAGTTTCCATTGCTTTATTTTTTTCCTCTTGGGACTGGCCTCGTGCAACCGTCCAGTTTTGGGTATCCCTTGGATTTTGGGCACAGGAGCCCAATGACTTCGAGGTGCAGTGGGCGGGTCCCGTGCCTGCACCTCGGATGACATCGAGGGGGCGAACGCGGCCAAGACTGGTGGGTCAAACCGTGGGGTTGCCAGGTGGTCGGAAATGAGCCAAGATCCAAATTTGCTTTAGAGGCAGCTCCGGTTTGGTAAGGACATGTTAGTTTTAAGTTGCCAGTTCTGCAAGGACATTTGCAGAGTCCCCAAGATGACGGTATCACAGGATTGTTAAGTCAGAGGTTGCATTTTCAAGGATCTATCAGAATCGGTGGTTCGAACCCTCCCAATGCGTTTTCCCAACAGGGAGCCTTTTCAGTCACTTTTGGGGGCAAAGGTGACACAAGCTGCCAAACAACACCTTGACGGCTGGGGTGTTTGGGATCTTCCCGCGGGGTTGTTTTTTGGAGGATGTCGAGCTGGGTGCGTCTTTTTTTGACCCGGGGGGGGGGGGGTTGATTTTGAGACAAGCCCAATAGTTGCAGACTCGGGGACGGCCTTTGGCCTTGGGTTCCAGAAAGGATGCATCCTAAGCAGCTGCTTTACCAGGATTTGCATCCTCTAAATCCTTGCGTATTGGGTTTTTGATGGCGATCCACATGGCAACGGCTTCCTTCTGGCCCCCCCTCTAAAAGTCCAACAGTGGGTCCCATAGTTTTCTTTTAAACATTTTTTTTTTCTCAACTCCCATGTTTTCAGCTTATCAGCCTTGAGCGCCCCTTTTCCAGGAAAACCAAGAGAAAGCTGTTTGAACGGTTGGGTGGTGGTGTCCAGTCTAAGGGAAACCACAGAAACCAACAGGAAAACCACTGGTGTCCCTCGGTTTCGACATGGCTTGGTATCCTTCGTCCTCGGTTTCTTGGGGGTCAGGCCGCCGGCCTGCATCTCATTGAGCTCAAGGAGGAGGCTGCCTTCAGCACCCTGCCAAGCCCCGCAGAGGCGGGGCGAGAGCGCACGCCTTGGAGGTGTTTCTGGGTGGCTCGTCTTGTTTTTGAGGGAACCCCCGGTTTTTGGTCTTTTGAAGGGACATCAACAGGAAACAGCTTGTTTTTTTTTTGGGTGCGGGTCGCATGAGAAAAACAGACCCATATCGAGTAAGAATTAGCTAGCATATCCGAGGAATGGGTGCAGCTGGCACACATGTCAAGATTGCCCCCCCCCCCATATATATATATATAATAATAATAATAATAATAATAATAATAATAATAATAATAATAATAATAATAATAATAATAATAATAATAATAATAATAATAATAATAATAATAATAATAATAATAATAATAATAATAATAATAATAATAATAATAATAATAATAATAATAATAATAATAATAATAATAATAATAATAATAATAATAATAATAATAATAATAATAATAATAATAATAATAATAATAATAATAATAATAATAATAATAATAATAATAATAATAATAATAATAATAATAATAATAATAATAATAATAATAATAATAATAATAATAATAATAATAATAATAATAATAATAATAATAATAATAATAATAATAATAATAATAATAATAATAATAATAATAATAGGTGGGCCACAATTGGGGCGCCATGTGCCAACTGAGTGTCACTCACTATGTATCCTGAAAGGTTATGTGGGCCCAGTCGTCTTGGATTGGCAAGTATTTGGCCCAAAAGAGCTACTGCAGAAAGGCGAACCTTTTTCTTCTTTGCCTTTTCATTTCCCCTTGGGCTATCCCAGAAACCCAAGGGCCTATTGAACCCTGTTGAATGTGATGGCCAAGGTTGACACAATTTGGCTGAGGAAACTGCGAATTCCCCCGACCCCAGGTGAGGAATTCAAACAAACTCGGGGCTTGAAGGTCTTTGGTATCCCTTCGGCTTACGATCCAGCGAGGTGTGACCTGTACAGACTGGGCAACAGTTGGGTCCTTCAAAATAGTTTCGGGCTCCTTTTGGCTTCCCTTTGCGTACTGAGCCTCAAACGAACAAGCGCCTGAAGGTTGATTGGATGTGGAAGTCTTGCTTCCTAGTTCCCAACCCATTTGTTGCCTTCGTGAAACCAACCATGGTTGCCAACAATATGTTTGACCTACAACATGAAGGCAGTTTTGGTTCCCAACCCCATTTCTGGCATCCATTCTGGACCCATTTTGTGTTTTTTTTGCCTTCATTTTTGGGACCTATGCTCCATTTTGTTTTTTCCGCCTTTATTTGGGGACCCAGTTTTGACCCACAAACAAATCTGCGCAGAGAGGTTTTCTCGCGATTTTCGCCGATCGCTCAGGTCCTCGCACTGCCCGGCGCCTTCCGCCCAACGTCGTCCTGCACCTTATGCGAGGGCCAGGTGAAGGCCCCGTGCCACTCCCCCAGTGCCCTTTCTCACCTTTTTTGGGAGAGGGTTCCCCTAAAATGGACTACAGAACAAAAGGGCACCCTTACTGCAACCTCTCTACTGGAGGACCTAGCCTGGAGTCTTTTTGCAGCTTGGAACCAGAAAACCAAATTCCTCAAGAGAAGGTGGCTTGCAAAATGGACTCGAATCCATCCCGTGCCAACCCGCTTTGGGTCTTCGCCAAGGGTCAACCAAGCCCCCCCCCCCCACCCCTTCCGGGGCTGCGATTTGCGCCGAAGGCCAAAGCATCAAATCTAGGTAGTGGGTTTGCGGGGGTGTCCTTGATGTTTCGGACGGTGGGTGGATTCAGCGAACCCTAAAGCACGAAGCAGTTTTCTTCTTCCCAAGGACATGTATGTAGCAGAAAGGAACCACCAGCTCACTAAGTAAGTCCTTGAATTGAATTCTTATTTCAGGGTTTATTATAGAATGACGGAAAGCGAGCTTAGGTCGATAGAGGCTGGGCTATAAAGAGTGAGGGGCGGGAATCTGGAGTAATAGTTGCAGAGCGGTTTCTGTTGAGGTCTGATTCAAGCAGTTTTCTAGTCGCGAGCGCCTATTGCAGACGATGTAGGGGAAGTGCATCCATGGCATTTGGACCATGCTGGTACTGCTGAACATGCTGATCTGCTTGCGCATGCAAGTCTGTATCTGTTGTTTGTACTTGCTTTACTTGTGTTGAACACTATATGTTTTGATGTTAACTGATTTTTGGAAGGGACATCCTGCATACACTTTAATTTGACATAGAACAACTATTCAAATCTATTTGATCACAATATACATTATGATTATATGTTTTCCTTATTAGGTCCTTCATTTGGGATCGGTTTTCGTACTATATTCACATCTTCACTACCGGCCGCTTTCTACATGTCAACTCAACTGATTTTGAATAGAACTAAAATAGGACTGAATAAGGAAATACATATTCCGAATCCCACCGGACATTCTATCTTAAATTCGGAATTTAGATGGAACACCTTGCCAAGTAGAACTTTACAATTCAACGGATTTTGAATGGATTTTGATGAAGATTCCAATCATACTTTCCAGTTTATCTTGATAAGGAAAGATTCCAATCATAATTTCAATTTTGTACTAGAACTTACTAGGATTTGTCCTATTTCAATTTAAACTTTACACAGGGATTTCCTCTGCAATATAATTTTCTTTAAGAGCTCGACTCAAAATTCCATTTTGAACGGGAATTTTAAGTGCGATTTCCTTTCAATGGATCAGGCCTGCCCAAAACAAACAAGCACAAAACTTGAGAGACCAAACAACACAATTCTCCCACAACTCTTGGAGCTGTGAGTTGCTACATCTTGAACAGGTGTCTGAGTTTTTTTTTTTTTTGGGGGGGGGGTTTGTTGGTGTTCTCGAGTTTTTGTTTTTCGGGCAGGGCTGATCCAGTGGAAAGACTGTCTGAGGATTGTTAGTCTGTTTGTTTGTTACCTTCCTTATGTATATACATGTATAGAGTCTTGTTTTGTATTTTCTTGGTCGCCTTGTGGTTTGTGTATTTCTCTAGAAGCCAGACAATGCATTCTAGAAAGGTCTGCTACCTGTACATATCCCAAGCAAACCATGGAAAAGACGGCAATTTACACAAGTCCCGCCAAAGACTCGGAGACATGCACTTTTGCGGACCCCTTCCAAGGGTGCACGTTTTGGGACTTCGCACTGGTGGCCCCCCGTTTTTCGTGTTCCAAGCTGTTCGCAGAGGGATGGTCAACCAAGCATAGCTGTGGTTCTTACACCATGAATGTAGATGCCCCCCCCTCCCTGAGACTGTGCTTTCGTGACGCGCCAGGTCTTCCACCCCCAGAACGATGGTCCGGAGCTGACCGAAAGCGCTGTCTTCGAGGTGGAGGGCCGGTTCTTCCACAACCTGCGGCCGCTCTGAGGGGACGGGGGTAGAAGGAGCCAGCCACAAAATGGGTGTTGGTGTGTCATTTGTTGTGTTTATTTGGTTTTTGGGTGCGTGTTTTTTGAGGGACACCCTTTTCGGTTTTAGGAGGAATCGGAAAGGAAACCAAGATTGTTAAGCAAACCAACCTTGGTAAGCAAACCAACATCGTTCGGGTTCCCATCTTTTAAGGACATGCCATATATTCGACTTTCTCAGGGTTGGACATGGAAAGCCCTAGTGGCATCCACGGGTTCCAATGCCTTCCCTCTTGGGAGTCAAAAGCAAAGCACACATGTACCCAACAGCAGCGAAATCGAAAACATCGTTCGAGTACTTTCCCTCTGGAGCAGCGGCACCTCGATCCCTTGAGCACAGGAACGCACAAAAAGACCCCTCCCCAACCATTGATGCTTGACTTGGGGCTTGTTCCTTCAGAAGGCCCCCTTTTCACAGGGGCTCTATTCGGGGGCTGGTTGCTTGGGCCGCCCTTTTGTCAAGAGGAAGCCGTTGGACCATGTGCTTGGGGCGGTGTTTGGGTGGCAGGAGCAATTTCATGCAAACGACACCCGATCGGTTATTTGCACAACCGATCGGTTTGGGTTGGAACAAGGTCTTGCTTGTCATTTTTGGAGTGGGTACCCTTTTTTTGTGGGAGTGCATCCCAATGGGTGTGTTTTGTTTGAAAGGAATCCAAAGGAACGCCATATTTTTTTGGGGGCCCCCTAAACAAGACGCGCCCATTTGCTGGCTTTTTCGCGAAATTGGTGGGCCCGAGGTTCAACAACCATGGGTTTGGGCGATCTCACCTGTTGGGGGATTGCTCTACATGGCTACGAGGGGTTGCCAAACGTACAGGCGACGTGTGGACCTTGGCGTCAAGTTTCTATTGGACCAAAGCGCTGGCCATGATTGGATTGCTCGCTACTTGCATTCTGCAGCTGGAGGTGGGAAGTAAACAACAGAAAACAAGCACCACCTGGCTTCTTGCTTCCTTGCTGCTTTGCTCGCTTGCTGGCTTGCTCTCATGCTTTCTTTCTTTGCTTATGATTTTGATCCATCTGTTCATTTATCCATTTGGACAAACATTAGTCAGTTTGTTTGTTTATGCCGCTTTCGCCTTTTCGCACTCAGGAAAACGGTGCACTTGGGCGCGAGCTCCTTCCGGAATCCCCCGGTTTTCCTGAAGGGCCAGCAGGGCCGTGTCGCGGAGCGGGCGGCACTGGAAGAGGCGTGTCGTTGTTTGTTCGAGGGGGGGGGGGACTCCATTCTTGTGCTTTTTGCAAGGACACCGACATGAACACCACCATGCTGGGGGTCCGCTCAAGAAAGACACATCCTGTTTTGCAGTCCAAGTTTCTGTTCAAATAGAATGAACATGGGCAAGAGCATTGCCAGCGTCACCAGCATCAGGATCGCGAGAATTCTCTTCCCAGGCATCACCGACCGAAACTTTGTTTTCGCCGCCTCTTGGTGCCGGCTTCAGTGTCAGTTGCTTTCGCCTCAAAGTATGGGCGCGCGATCTTGGAAAATAGGGTTTAACACAGCCAAAATAATTTCACTTTTCAGCGGCAAAGTAGTCAAGTACGGCTAATCAACCCCTTTTGTATCATAGCAGGTGCCTCGTTTTGTTTTTTTGGAGTGCAGGTGGAGTGCTTGTTGGACCACTTGTTCCATCACAAGAACACCCCGGTCTTCATCAGCAAGCGCTTGATCCAGCGCTTTGGCATCTCCAACCCGTCGCCCTCATACCTGGAAGCCGTGCCTCGGCAATCGGAGTGTGTTGTACGTCCACATGAGTTGTCAAAATTAGGGCCCCTTGATGGATCGATCCTCTGTTTAATGGGTGGCACAAGGACCAGTTGAAGGAACCGGCCATGTTTTTGAGAACCCCATTCGTGATTTACCTTGTTGAGTTGGGATTGAGAGCTTTTGCTTGGCCAACGGGTCAGTGGTGGGGGGGGGGGGAGGGGGTTGGGTTGACTTCCAATATGTGTGTAGGTTTTGGCCATTGCTGGAACACGGCTATTTCGGGTGAAGCATTGCCGAGCCGTGGTTGAGGGACATACCGGTTTAGGTTGCTACTTGTGAAGCAAGGGGATCCTCATTAAGTAGAGACGGCGACAGCCCTTTGCTTGGGTGACTTTTGCCACAACCATGAGGGCGTGTCTCAAATTTGGGGGATCCCCAAAATGAGCAATTGCTCCCAACAGAGAACCTCTCAAGCGGAGACTTCCGCATATCCTCCGTCACATCACTCAGGTGCGAAAGGCCTCACAAGGCTATGATGATCACTTGATAGATAGTACGAGGACAAAAGCGAGGGGCTCATGTTTGGCTGTGCGAACCAGATGTCTTTCTCGGGGATGTCTTTCTCATCCTTGCTTCCCAGTCCCTCCGCATTCATCTCAGTGAACACGAGACGAAACCAAGTTGCTAAAGAGGAGCAGAGGAAACCTTCCCCGAGACAACTCCCAAGCTACACTCCCTCAGACTAACAGCCGGAAGCTCCCCCAGAAGGCCGTAAATGGAACCAAGTCTTCCAAGGGGGGTCCTGCGACAAGGTTTGGCTCAAGACCAAGTTGCTTGGAACCTCACCTGGGTTTGTCTCAAAATCGGGGATCCCAAACATGGGTATCGGGTTTCTTCAAAACAAACCAAAACGGAAGCAAGTTGCAAAATAGGAGTATCATCTGATGAATTTTAATAGGGAATCACCTCGAAAGTGGTTGGTGTACATAAATCCCCACCGGAATGATGACCACCAAAGAGCCCCAATCAACGTTCACACTCATATGAGCAACTGACGACCTTCTGGTGGTCTGTTAATTGCTCATAGTATGGGTCTGAATGTTTATTGGCCCCTTTGGTTGTCATCATTAAAGTGGGGATATAGTATTATTTTTTTTTGGCAAGACAGAGGCTCACTCCTATGTTTCTTTGTGGAATCAAGTAATTTTGCCTGGGGCTCATATTTGGTCCATGTCGTTTGTTTGGCATTCGGGACATGGGGAAGTGCTCGAAAATTCCCGTGCGGCCCGTGCACCATTTTGAGCGACACGGGGCAAGAATGGTTTGGCCTGATCCACTTGGGCTTTGGGACATGGGTCGCCACCTGAAAAGGAGGCTCAACATAAGCTGGGAACTTTTAGGGTTGTCTTTGGGTCGTATTCATCATTCTTTACGATGATCATTCCAATTTGTTGAGCGCCACCGTTCTCTTTTGGTGCCTTTCTTTTTGTTGTATCTTCCAGGCTGGATGTGGGGGTGGCTATGGATCTCAGGCTTTCCTTTTCTTTTCCCAACAGCCGTTTGGGCATTCCCCATTTTTCAATTCTGCAACAAACCTTGTTTTTGGCGAGGTAAGGGAGCAGAGCCTTTGCGCATTGCGCAACTCGCATTGGACAGCTCCAAACGTCCACTGTGTGGGAGTTGAACTTGGGAGAGAGAAAAGGAAGGGTTCACCACTCCAACCAAGCTTCCTTTTGGGTCGCCGGGTAGCCCAAACCACTGGCTGGACACAAAACCCTTGGTGGCCAGAACCTGGCTGGGCTTCGGGTGTGGCGGAGGTGCAGCATGCCTTCCGCACGGGGAGCTACGAGTCGATGCCCTTCAGCGGCGTCTACGGGGACCTGGGCGCCGCAGTGGCCGCGGCGCTGCTGCATCCGCAGGCCGACATGGAGGGCCATACGCGGCTCGGTACGGCGAGTTTTTTTTTCTTCTTAGGGAAGATAGGTTGAAGCCCCTGAACAGTGGGTTGGACTTGTTCATCCCACATTTTGATAGAAGGTCCCTTTCACATCTAAAATAAAATTTTCCTTGAAGGTGGCTTTAAACATCACGGTTTGGGCTAAAGTGAGGGTTCTTTTGGTGTGATGTCCAAAAGGGGCACTTACGAAACACTGTTGCTTGAGAAGGAACTCGAGGTTGATCCCATGGGGATAAAGCCGCAAACAAACATTTGTTCGGAACGTGCGGGTGATGATTATCTTCTATGTGCTTAAGAATATGTTTTCCCCTGTTGGTTTGAAACGGAATCTAACTCTACTGTTTCGTTGCTTCTTTAGGGGACTTGAGCAAATGGAGGTTGTGGTCACTTACCCGACGTGAGCAGGTTGCCCTCGGATCGAGGTCTCGGCAGTTCCACGGGTCCCTGCGGGAGCCCATGCTGAAGCTGATTCACTTCATGAGGCGAATCAACCGGCTGCCAGCGAATCGATGTGAGATGACGACTTTGGGTGTTCCTGCTTTGGTCCGTGAACCTTTTATAGCCAGAGTCTTTGGGAAAGTGAGACTTCGGAGGTGTGGAGCTTGGGTTGTGGCTTTTGGGTTCCGCTATGCAGGATGTCGTCCATCCACGGTATCTCAAAACCCATAGCCGGAAATGCAGCTGAAGCAACTGGGCGCTGCGAGCCATTGCCCCGATCCTTGACCGCGGCCAGGTCCATGGAGTATATGGACGTGAGCCAAGAGTTCGTGGTCTTCAAAGAGCTGCAGGATGCGAACTGCGGGAATCAGCTTCAGGGTTTCTCGAGACAGGAGATACACGTGAAGAATCCATAGGACATGGATCGCATTCTGGATTCTATTGCTGTCCAATGCAATTGCTGGTCATGTGACGTATGAAGGAAAAGGAATGTCAAACAGAATAAACAGTATTGTAAAATTGGAATCAAGGTCTTCCCATCACCAGCTTGTAAATGAGATTATGAAAGTAAAAAGACCTCGCTTCTACTTCCAATGAATGCAGTTGGGTGGGAAAAGGGAGAGTGAAAAGGATGAATTCTACCTTCATTCTCTTGTCCATCCAAGATCAAGGTGCCATCAGAATCCTCCCTTCCATCTCCTTCCTAAGAATTTAAGATGACATGAAGGACGTTCTGGATTCCAATGCTTTCCAATGTAGTTCCTGGCCATATGTCGTACGAAGGAAATATATAACTCCAGAAATACAAAATGAATAAGACACATATATAATTATAGAAAGAATGGGAACGGTTAGAGCTGGTCTACAGTGGCACGGTTTCCTTTGGGTTTTCCGAGGAGAACACCAAGCATAAGGGGTGGGATTTCCCACCATTTCGAGAACTCATGCAAACTGCGATGTTCGCCAAATCGCCGTTTGGTGGGAACCTCGGTTCTTGATTCGCGCATGTTAGTCCGTTTCTTGACATTTGGTTTGTAGTTTATGTTTCGATGTGTTATTCAGGTGCCCCTCAATTGCTGGTTCCTTGATGAATGGTCGGAATGGAGCACTTTCCAAGAGGGTTGGTAGACACAGACCCCTCATGTAAATGAGATCCGCCTGAGCGTCCCTTTACGTCACCATGTGGCTCTCGGCTCAGTTTGCGAGGGTTTTCAGGGTCGAGGAAACATCGTGCTCAATGTTTTGGGCATTTTTCAGACGAAGGCACGTGGGTGAGTTTTTCGTTGAGGGTACTCTTTGTGGGGTCGTGGAAAGCTAGTTGCAGAAAAACAAGCAGTTTTAAGGGTTCCTTCGTGAGACAAGCTATGTCAAATGAGCAGCTCCCACAAGCGGGGCTTCTCAGTGCAACATATCTTCATTTTGTTCAACGTTCCTCAATCAAGCTAAGCTGCGACGGGCGACGACGTTTTAAATGTTCCCAGACCCTCCCCGCTAGAAACCTTCATTTGGGTACCAAAAGGCGGGCTTCGGGTTTCGGGGGTTGGGGCTGGCTGGAAAGGACGTGCTGGGCCAGTTTCCCTTCCAGTCCCCAACTGTCTTCAACTTCTACCTGGCGGAGACTTGGCTTTTCACTCGATTTGTCACTCGAGTTCTCAGACTTTGGACCGGAATGTTGACCCCCGATGAATACCCCCCCCCCACTCATTGAGGGGCGTCCCTGTTGGTGGGGATTGTTTTCTTCCGCAAAAACCGGGGCCCCTGATCAAGGACAGCGGGGTTTATGAAAGTTGGGGTCAACATGGGTGGCAACCAAATTGGAGTCGCTGAAGTGAGGGGAATCGAGCTCGGACGGGACCGGGCCTTGCCTCTTGGGGACGAGTTTCGTATATTTGACCTGCGGGGAGCAACCATTTGAGGGGATGCCATGAGCACGCTTGTTACTTCTCGTCTTTGACTGGGCTTACCTCTCACATCAAAACGAGCTCAGTTCGGGGTTGAACGAACTCACCCATGAAGGTCCTTCACCAGATCCCATGTCAGTTGGAGCTGATTTTTTGACCGTGGCTCATGCAGTGTGTTGGTTTGGGGACGCGGGGCCATTCGAATTCCGCGCTTTACAAGCGGCGCACGACTTCTCCTAGCCCTGGGATGAGAGCATTGTCCGTGGCCCTCAAAAGCGATGCTCCCCTCTCCAAACAAAAAGGTATGCATGGTGTGTAGTCACATATATGTAGTACGCCCATTTCTTGTGAAGATCCGCAAGCGCGGGCCACCCGCCGTGTCCGTGTTTTTGTCACGTTCAAAGAGAGATCAAAGGGATGCCCACCCATTTTTGTCTATTCTTATTTCCACACAACCCCATATTTCTTCTTCGGCGTGGCGTGTGCCAGATAGGGTTGGTCACCTCAAATTACCAAACCACGTTTAGGCAGATCGCTTTTGCTTTCCTAGGGGGCGAGGATTGAATTGGAGTATTTTGATGCGAGCCGTTTCCTGCCGCCACTCGGGCCTTGTGTTGGTCGAATTCCTCCGCAACATTTCCCATCAACAAACAAGGTCCTCAAAAGAAGATTCGTCGAAGTCGCTGCCACGCTAATCTGCATCCTTGAACACTTTTCACCACGCAGAAAGCATGGGCTGAGTGAAACCGCGAGCGAATTTGGACCCTTTCTTGAAACAATTTGATATGGACATGCCTTGTTGAGGCTCCAGAAAGATCATTAATGATCACAGCATACGGTTTGCCCGGGCCCCGAATTGTTTGGCGTGTGGCCATTCAAATGGATCAGTAGAACGCCTACATAGAGTATATCAATTTTACGGGACTTACTAGAATGGTGGTTTCTTCTTTTGGTTTCCCTTTACCACTGTAGAATATCCGCTGGTTGATCAATAGGCCTGAGCTTTCAGCAGTTGCTATCAAACCCTATTTGTCCACCAGATCCGGACACATTGCACTCATATACTGATTTAAGGCCATAGGCGCAGGAACCAATGGAATGATGATTAGTGACTAAGGCCATCAAGCACCATTAAGGGCCGTCCGATGGTTTCCCTGTGGTTCATCAGTATTGGATACTCCGGCAGGACTTCAATCTACCCGAGCCAGAGCCGGAGAACGAGGTTGGCATGACCACCACCACCGGCATGCCAGGCATGGGCGCTATAGGGGAGTTTTGGGGCTGATTTCTACCATAGGGGAATCCCAGTTGAAGTGATAAGCAAGTTGTGGGGACCTACTTTGGTATCACAAGGGACATGTCCCACTCCTATCTTTCGTTGCAAATTATACCTTTCATTGCTTTCTTGGACTTCCTGGAACAGCAAGGGTTGAAGCATGGCCTCGTCTCACTATCTATGCGTGGAACTCGGGGAGAGTTGTTGATTGCTCAGGTCTTTATCCAGTGTTGTGCAAACAACCTGCTTTCCCTTTTCCTATTGACAGTTTTCGCCCATCCCTGGTTTCGCATTGCTGTCAACCACAAATGCAACTCAGATCGCGCCAGTGATTCGACTTTTGCTCCGTAGGCTCTTGTGTGTGTTAAGCCCAGGGCAGCTGCAGCTCCGCCACCAGCTACTGCAAGACTGGTGCACCAGGTGTGACAAAAGCCGCTTGCTGGGGCCTTGCGAATCACACCTCCAGAAAGTAATCTGCCTGAAGCTTTGATCGCCGCTGGAACGCGACTAAAAGGTGGCTCCGGTACAGCCGCCCGCCGGGTGCAAGGACGGTCACTGCTAACGAGTTGGATGGGGAACCGCTTGATCCATCGCTGGCACACGCTGAAGCTGCTGAAGGAGAGATTCCAAATGCCGCGGCGGTGTGATATACGCTGCCTCTTTTGCGCCAGTAATTATTGCAGATTTGATGGATTCGGGAGAGTCGAAAAACAAACAACACTGTGGATGGACGAATCCATTTCGCACCAGTTGGTGGATGGTTTATCAACCAGTCATCCATCCTAATTGGTTGCAGGATTTTGTCCATCCGAAGCGGGACAAGACCTGAGACTTGTGAGGTGTGCGCTCAGTTTGGCTGATAGACGGATTCTACTTGTTTCAGCCTGACAAGAACTTCTGTGGACTCGTGCCTTTGCGAAAAGTGAATAAACCTATCCAGTTGGCAAGTTTCAATCGAATAGATAATGTAGATTCTTTAGATATATATATATATATATATTTGGTATGCACCATCCCCAGGGCGAATTTTGGGTATCCCAGACACCCAGTCACTCAGTGGTGCCCTGTTTTTCCCATTGGGTCTGGGGTATCTTCTGTGTCAGGGGTCCTGTTTTCTTTGCGGGCTCGCTTGGCATGCCTCCATTGTTTTTCTTGCGTTGAAAGTTACTGTCTTCCAGTACTTGGATGTTCAAACCACTAACTGCGTGGGTTATACTCGTGGTTATACGGAAACTAACCGGAGTTTGAGTGATTCCGTTTTGATTTGCAGACTTTCTGCGCTTGGTGGAATCGCAGGAAACTCAACTAGTCATGCAAGTACTGGCGAAAGGGCTTGTCTCAAACTGGGACTTCCATTTTGGTTTTCCTTCGAAACCAATCAAAAAGCGGTTCCTCCGCAAACGGTCAACCCAGCTGTAGTGGCAACAGGGGCCTCGTTCCTCCCCAGGCATGAGCACCCTGCAGAATGCCCAAAAACCATGAGGAGAGGGATCTCCTGTGACCCCTTTCGTGGACATCCTACCCTCCCAATCAACATGGATGATGGTTGGGGGTCCTAGAAGACCATTTTCCTTTTAGAGGGACCCCCTGTCAGGTTCCATGCGAATTGGTGGGAGGGTGATTTGCAGGGGAGTATGCCAGACAGTTTTTAGGGCAACCCACGTGTGTGTGTGATCTGGATTCCCACCAAAAGGGGACACCTGCCATTAAAAGGTTGGTCGTAGCACCCTCTACCCCGAAGCCAAATTTGATATACAACCTCTGAGAAAGCCACTATCTACAGGTTATACCACACTAGACAGGTTATATATATACCAGCTTCCCCTGGGGTAGCTGTGATTTTAGGGTAGTGACACCATGTTTTGATCAACCCAAGGACTACTTACACCTAGCTTGATATGCCCAAAAGGGAAACCAATTCCTGGGTGCAAGTCTACATGCGAGAATTGAACAACGGCGCTTTTTGTCAAAGCGATAAATAGGCGGTGTCTCCTTGTGTGGGGCATTCATCAAATTGCAGAGGATTTCACTTTGTTTTGCTACAGGATGGGTTGATTAATCCGATATCAGAAAGGACGCCCCTCCCCGCGCGTTGCTTCCGCCTCGGGAGCGCCCGCGAGCCGCGAGGCATGCCGGAGCCGGAGGCGGAGACTTTGGTGGCGCCGGAGCTGCAGATCTTCACCCCCCCGCACTTCATCGGCGGGGAGCTGAGGTTTTTGCCGAGGTGTTTCTTCGCCAGAGGTCTTGTGGGAGTTGGAGGTGGTGCTGGCCGCTTGCCTCGCGTTTTTTGTTTGTTTTTGTGGGTGGTGACTTTGTGGTGCTTCTTTTTTTGGGAGAAGTTTTTTTACACATTCTTTTTTAGGAGTTGTTTTTTTCTTTTTCTCCGAGGGTGTTTGAGTTCTTGAAGCTCTTGTCGGAACGCGTCTGAGCCTCGCTTCTTTGTGAAAAGGTTGTTTACAGGTTTGGTTGAGGTCCTTTGGAGTTTGTTGAAGGAGTTTCTCCTTGAGGATACATAAAATGTTTGGGTGAGTTCCCCTTCAACATAAAAGAACACGTAAAGACAGACAGACACACAGACACGGACACAGGCAGACACACAGACACGCAGACGGATACGGACGCACAGACGCACAGACACACGCAGACGCAGACGCAGACGCAGGCGCAGGCGCAGGCGCAGGTGCGGACGCAGACGCACACGCAGACACAGACACAAACAGACAAACCCACAGACAAACACGTTCATAATAATTCTGTCCTGTCTGTCAGTCCGAGTGCATGTGTCTGCGTGTCTGTGTTTGTGTGTTTGCTTTTTAATGTCTGCGTGTCTGTGTGTCTGTGTGTCTGTGTGTCTGTGTGTCTGTGTGTCTGTGTGTCTGTGTGTCTTTGTGTCTTTGTGTCTGTGGTCTGTGGTTTGTGTGTCTGTGTGTCTGCGTGTCAGCGTGTCTGCGTGTCTGCGTGTCTGTGTGTTTGTTTTTGTCTGTGTGTCTGTCTGTGTCCGTGTGTCTGTGTCTCTGTGTCTCTGTGTGTCTGTGTGTCTGTGTGTCTGTCTGTGTCCGTGTGTCTGTGTCTCTGTGTCTCTGTGTGTCTGTGTGTCTGTATGTCTGTGTGTCGGTTGAGCAAGCTTGACATGGGGTCGTTTATCCAAGGGGTGTAAAGATTGGTATGTGCAAACTTATCCAGAAAGACACCCATTGGGTACGTCCTGAGATTGGGAGTTCCTTTTTGGGTGGTACGACATGGACACCGATTGCTTGCCGGTAAACCACATTGGGAAACCACACGTAATGGGTGGTTTAGCTTTGGCTGCTATATTCCACCTGGTTGCAAACCTGCTTTGCATTGAGTCTCCCCTTTTGGGGAGAGGGGTATGGTGGAATATGAACCACAACAAGCCTTTTGGGATCATTTACCCAAAGGCGTATGTAAACAGGCTATGTAAAACCCCCTTCCCCCCCGGAACCAGCTTGAATCGGCAATGGGTTCATAAACTTGTCCAGCATCACGACGTGTTGTTTGGTGTCCCACTACGGATTCGGCTTCGGATTGGGATTCCCTGTGAACAACCCATCCGGGTTGTCAGGTTTTGTGCTCATCTCTCCTAGCCTCTGGGCTTCCAAAGGCCCCAATTGATGCGCCCAAACCCTAAGGACACTTCAGGTGGTGAAGTCCTGCTTTTGGGTAAAGCCTGTTTCAACCTGAACCGTCGAGCCCAACGTCAATGGGGTTTTGAGTTCCACCAAACCTTTTGGAAACAAGCGGCCTTTCCATTAAACCTAGACCTGAGGCTTCCTGAATGGCATGAGCTCGCTGATCAAGTCGGGGCCCCAGCTGGAAGTTGGCGGAGAGGGGTGAGAGGAGAGGAGGTTTGGGTGGTTGGGTGGTTGGGTGGTTGAGTGCTTTGGGTTGGGAAGGGGCAAAGGGGGAGGGACCTGCATTTTGGCTCGTTGGCATTGGGGGTCCCATGCAATACCTGTACGAAATATGTCTAGTGCTTATTTGTTTCTTACTGAACATTCCTATTTTTGCACTGATGCATTCATCTGCTGGTTGTTGTTTGCGGTTCGCATTCCGTCGGTTTGTGCCTCTGGGCCTCAGCTCGGAGGTATGGCGTGAACGAACGCTGCGACTCCGTGCGAGGCGGGGTCTTCTGTCCATATGCGGCGAGTCGGGAGGTGTGGTGAAATCGGCGAATCGCCGGGAATCCCGCGAACTGTTGCTTCCTTTCAGAAAAAATAATTAAACAAAAAAAACAACTTAGAAAAAAAACCTCAGAGTAAGCTCTTGCGCCAATGTTGATTGAGTTCCCCGGGGCGATGTTCAACTCGCATATGCGCCACGGTCAGAAGAAACACTGCGCCCACTCGAGATACCTGCGCAAACAGTGGGGTGGGACACCCTTGTGGGGGGTTGGTAGGATCTAGCGGTTTTCTCGAGTACTTCACCTGGCAGCGTGAAGCCTTCATTGTTCTTGCCTCCTTGTACTTTCCGCCAGTGTAACTTTGCGGACCAGGGTTGCGCCTTGCATTGTTGCCGACACCGCCGTCGACAAATCCCTTCGGCCCGCTGTCCGATCGAGGCTTCGGACAGCGGCCGCAATCTTACAACGGCCTGGACTGGCGTGAGAAGTGCCCCATGGGCACCCTGCATCTGCCGGATGATGGGGAGGACAAGGTGTTGAACGAGCTAGATGTGTTGCTCACAGGCGTGCCCGCTCTGAGTGGGGGTGACGGGAAAGCCGGGCTCTGGGGCTCACCAAGGCATATTTTCAGGCTGCTAAAGCGCCCTTTGATTCTTGGCTGCATAAGGACCCGATCTAGGTGGAGGTTTTCGCTTGCCATGCCAAACTTGCCTCAAAGGGAGGAGGGCGATCGGTGGCGACTGGAAGTCTGATAGGCCTAGGCAGGGGATTTTCTAATCAGCCCGGCCGAATCAAGAAGGGGGTAAAGAACGAGAGGGAGGGAGGGAAGGAGGGAAGGAGGGTAGGAGGGTAGGAGGGAAGGAGGGCAGGAGGGCAGGAGGGCAGGAGGGCAGG